CTAAGGGAGCAAAAGAATGACAGATGTGGGTATGGCCCAGAGGCTTAGCCACACACTTGGAGACTCAATATTCATTCACTTATTAAATACTTATGGGGCACCTACTATGTGCCAAGCAATGTTCAACATCCATAGGTTATATCACTGAACAAAACAAAGATTCCTGCCCATTTGGAATTTACATTCTCATCAGGAGACAGACAATAAACAAAAACATTAAAGAAGTAAATTATATTTGAAAGAAAAAGAAGGAAAGAAAGAGAGAGAAAGAAAAAAAAGAAAGAAAGAAAGAAAGAAAGAAAAAGAAAAAGAAAAGAAAGGAAGGAAGAAAAAAAGAAAGAAAGAAAAGAAAGCAAGCAAGCAGGGTAAGGGATATCAGACTGCAGTTTTAAATGGAGTGGTCAAAGTAGGCCTCGTTGAGGTGACATTTGAGCAAAGACTTAAAGGAAGGAGGGAGACAGCCATGCAGGTATCTGGCAGAAGGGCATTCTAAACAAAGGGAACAGCCACTGGCTTGGTTTGGACAGTTCAGAGGGGAGTGAAGCAGGCAGACCAGCAAGGAGACGGTTTTAAGACCATGATGGGCACAAATCAGCAGAGGTTGTGGGAATGGAGACCTAGGAAGCAAAATTGTCAGGACTTGGTGCCTGTTTGCATATGGGAGGTATGTAACTCCTCGTCATATTGTTCTGAAGGCCCCACTTCAAGGGGACTCGCTGTACGTGCCACCTCCAAGGCAGGTAGTGAGAATGCTCAGCACATTCTATCCTGGCTGCTCCCCACCTCCTCCACATACTGTCCTCCCCAGCCTCTTAATTCCTCAACCTCATCTTCAGTGACTTTCCCTCCAGGCCACCCAACTATCTACTCTCATGCCCACTAGCAAGTCCTGTCAGCTCCTAAAACTCTCAAATTCACTGACTCCATTTCATTCTTCAGCTACTGTTATGTGTTGAATTGCGTCCCTCCATAAAAATATATTGAAGTCCTAAGCCCTAGTACCTCAGAATGTAACCCTATCTGAAAATAGGATCTTTACAGAGGTAAGCAAGTTAAAACGAGGTCATTGGGATGGGCCCTAATCCAATATGACTAGCATCCTTATAAAAAGGAGAAATTTGGACACAGAACAGACACAAAGGGAAGACAGTGTGAAGATGGATGACTGGAGTAATGCATCCAAAAGCCAAGAAGGCCAAAGGCTGCTGGCAAACCAGAAGCTAGGAAGAGTCAAGTAAAGATTCCCTTGCAGGTTTCAGAGGGGAATGGCTCTGACACCTTGATTTTGGACTTCTAGTCTCCCAAACTGTGAGACAGTACAGTACTGTTGTTCTAAGCCACCCAGTTGGTGGTACTTTGTTATGGGAGCCCTAGAAACTGGTACAGCTATGATACCCTATCCCAGTTCTTACTTCACCTCACCCCACCCCACCCTACCCATTTTCATGGGGCCTAGGCCACTGACCCCTACCCCTTTCTATCTTCACTTCTTTCCTGACCCAGTTTGGATTCCTTGGGCCTTCACCACATACACTTTCTTGCTAGTCTCCTCACTATTCTTCCATCATTTCTGCCCGTCTTAACCTAGTAGAAGAATGCAACAGTGCTTCCTCTGAGTCTTCACTTGTCCCGTGGGTGTTGCTGGAGCGCACACACCCTGACTGATATTACAAGTTCATGATCATCAGCCTCAACTGGGCTTTTAGCCCTGACTGGTCATCCTCCTGTACCTCCCTAGGTATTTTTCCCAATTGAAACAACTATCTCACCAGCCTCCTTGCTCTACTCTCTGCAGCAGAGCTGGACTCCTGCTTCAAGAGATTAAAAGCCTTCTGAACTCTGAATTCTCTTATGTCCCACCTTTACCTCTTCACCCATCTGCATGCATAGCCATCCTCAACTCCTTCCCTCCTGTTCCAGGGAGTCTGCTCTCCTCTTCCCTTTGTGACAGCCATACCTCCATGCTCCAAGGCCCACTCCCTTTCATCTCCCCCAGGAGCCTCACTCTGAGTTAGCCACAATCTCCTGCACCTTTAATCCCTTTCCCTATTGGCTTCCCCCATCAGCCTACAAACAAGTCTCTGCTAATTCATTAAACAAATAAATAAAACTCTCTCTGTATCCCACAGTCACCTCTCCCCTCCCAACACAATAGTTTCTTGAAAAAGCTATCTCCACTTCCTTACCTTTTGTGCCCTTACCTTTTCTAAGAGATTATGGAGGAAGAAGCCATACTACAGTGAATTAAGGAGAAAGTGGGAAGTAAAGAAATTCAATCGGCAATTATACATAACTCTTATGCTCCCTCCCTCCTAAGCCTGGTCAGGCTTTCTGACTCTAAAGGCCTCACCTCTCTCTGGCTCCCTCCCTGCAATTCCTCCTGTAGGCCCCAACTAGGCCCTGTAGAGGTCAAACAGAGAAAAGGCCCCAGAACCTAGCCATCTCTCCCTCAGCCTGTGTCCTATCTCCTGATTCTCTGAACTGCAGATCCTGTTCTTCCCAAGGGATTCTGACCCCAGCTCAGTTTCCCTCCACACTACCCCTGCCATCACCCTGGAGACCCCAGGTGGTGCCTTAATGATGAGCTGCCCAATTGGGAGCCCATCCTAGGACTCCCAGAGCTTGTGATCCCACCTTACTGAATCATTCCCTCAACACAGGTCACTATGCTTATTCCACTGATCATTCCACCTGGCCACAGCAGGCTAGGTCAGGATGGGATGCTGAGCCACAGATCAATAGTCTGCAAGAAGCCTGGTCCCAAAGCTCTGGAGACCAATGATACTCAGAGAGTTGTTGATGGCAGAAGACACTCTAGTGGAGACGCTCAGCGAAAAGGCACTATACAGAAGCTGGGTGGGAAGAAAAACCCTGAATTAGCCACAAAGAGAATGGGGAGAAGTCACACAGTTGCTGGCAGCAAGACACTGAAGTCATGACCACAGCCTCAAGGAGTGTGTTAGATGCTTCATGACCCTCTGCAGTTGAGAGGCCCAGCTGGGCAGCTGCTGAGAGGGTTTCCTGTCTCTCCTAATATCCCCTGAATCTCCATCACCCACCCCTCCACTCTGGGCAACTTATCTCAGAAAACAAAAGATGAAGTGTTCAAAGTTTTGACCACAGCCTGCTGGCCCTGTGTTCCCCTCATCCCTGCTCTAAGCCCCTATTGGCCCTATCCCCTCAGCCTACCACTTCAACACTCAAACTGCTGTGCTCATCCTGCCACATGGGCCCAGAAGAGCCCGAACTTTGTGCTTTCCTGGTGACTGGACACCCAGGCTACTGGACACAACGGAGAAGACCTTAAAATCCAGTGGGAGACCCAATTCACTCAACTCTTCACTGAGTCTACTACTGCCCACAATCCTGTTCTGGTTCCTGTACCCCACTGGCTACCACTGCAATCTTCACTGCTTTCCTCGGGCCCCTAACCTGACCATGGTAACCTGAGAGTCTATGGCCAAGATGAGACAGAAAAGGAACAGCAAAGGGTAAAAAGGAAAGGATGAGGCCGGAAGGGAAAATGTGGGACTGAGGTTATGTTTTTCAGGAAAAGGCATATTTGTAAGCTGAGTCATTAATAATGAGAACAATTAACATTTACAGGCATCCCTCGATATCCTCAGGGAATTGGTTCCAGGAGCCCCCATGGATTTTTTTTTTTTACCAAAATGTTTAAGTTCCTTATATGAAATGATGTAGTACAGTCAGCCCTCTGTATCCACGAGTTCTGCATCCACAGATATGGAGGGCTGAGTGTATACAGGCCCAGGTGGTATCTAAGAATCATATGTATATTCCTACATTTAACCCTCATAACAAGCCTATGAGGTAAGCACTGTATCTTGTTTCATGGATGAGAACACTAAGGCACAGAGCAGTAACTTGCCCAACGTCACATAGCAGTAACTTGCTAGTAAGTGGCAGAACCAGGATTCAAATCCAGGCAGCCTGGTACCCAAGACCATGATTTAAACCACTATACTATAATACAGGCATACTTCAGAGATATTTTGGGTTCAGTTCCAGACCACCTCAATAAAATGAAGATCTCAATAAAGCGAGTCACATGAATTTTTTGGTTTCCCAGTGCTTACAAAAGTTATGTTTACACTACACTGTAGTCCATTAAGAGTGCGATAGCATTATGTCTAATAAAACAATGTACATACCTCAATTTAGAAATATTTTATTGCTAGAAAATGCAAACCATCATCTGAGCCTTCAGTGCGTTACAGTAGTAACATCAAAGATCACTGATCATAGGTCACTATAACAAATATAATAATAATGAAAAAGTTTGAAATATTGTGAGAATTACCGAAATGTGACAGAGATACGAAATGAGCAAACGCTGCTAGAAAAATGGCACTGACAGATTTGTTCAACGCAGGCTTGCCACAAACATTCACTTTGTAAAAAATGCAGCATCTGCAATGTGCAATAAAATGAGGTATATGCTGCAGATGGAGAAAAATGTCTGACCTGGCAGAGTCCTTAAACCAGCCCAAAACAGGAAGCAGACAGCCACCCAGGGGTCTAGACACAGTCAGGTTACTGCTTGAGGCTTCTTATCGACTCTAGATCCTCCCAGCACCAACCTGAGCCTACCCTTCCTGTCTCTAGCCTGTGAGCTCCTGGGGGTCAAGGGCAGGGACTCCCACTCCCTTAATCCCACCTCCACACAGCAGGCCAAGCAGAGGCTCATCAGACGAATGTGCAGAACCTTTATTTCCTAACCCACTCCTTGGACCTCTGTCAGAAGGTAGATCAGAGGCACTATAGGTAGAAGGCAATCCAGAACCCGGCAGAGACACCACACCTGTCACTCTTCATAGCAGTCCCTTTCCACAAGCCAGAGGGAAGTGGAAGCAGGACAGGGAGGTCCACTTCGGTAGACTCAAGTCTTGTTGGGGGTGTTGAGCAGCTACAGAGGCTTCTCAAAGAAGGCCCAGCCATCCTAGACATTCAGGCCTGGAGAACAGCTTGCCAGCAGGTCTTCAAAACCGGGTGTCTCGAGCCCTTCTTCGGGGTCGGGGGCCAGAGCTGGAGGTAGGTGTGGGGCCCAAGCCAGGGGGTGCCCCTGGGGGCTGGTAGCCACACTCATTGGGGTCCAGTGGATCTCGGCTGAGCAGTACCCATACCGCAGGCACATGGCGGCGTACCGTGAGGGGATCTAGGCCTGCGTCGGGTGATGTTGGCACCCAGCTGTCCTCGGTCTGCAGGAAGCGCAGCTTGGTAAGCTGGTGCAGGCCTGGTACCCGCCGTTTGACAATCTCAGCACAGCTGACAACCTTGCCTGCAGCCCGGCCAGAACCTGAGAACACCACATGCCGAGCACTGCCGCCCTCCAACCGCCCCAGCGCCAGGCCCAGCAGGTTGCGGATTTTGCTGCCATCTCGGACCCGCATCTCCAGGGTATCAGGCGGTAGCTGGGGCATCGGGGAAGGTGCTGGGAGTTCCACAGAGCCAGCCTTCCGGTAGTGCTCCATCCGGCTGCTGTCGTGTCTGAATCTTGCTGCCCACTGCAGGGAAGTGTCAGAGGAATGCTAGGCTGGGTGCCCTGGGCCACCCGCCACCCCCAACCCCGGCTCTCTAGCACGTGGGCCCATTCCTCATCCCACATTTCCCAGAAACAGGACCATATGCCCTCATCCCCAGGACAGGGGACCACGCCTGCCTCACCCTGGGTGGGGGCTGTACCCCATTCCTCTGGACAGGGCCATAACCCTCCCCCCGAGCCCGGAGTCCCTGCGACAGGACCAAATTCCCCAAACGCTAGCCAAGCCCCCTCATCCCAAGCTCCCTAGCACTGGGAATGAACTTCCCTCATCTGGGGCTCCTGGGGACAGGGCCCGGGCCCTCACCCGAGACTCCCTGAGAACAAGGCTTAGTGATCCTCACCCTGGGCTCTCCAAGCGGTGACAGGGACAAGGTCCCTCACTTCGTGCCCCCAGAGGACAGGACCAAGCCCCTACGCCACAAGCTCGCCGACACAGAGCCAAGAGCCCTCATCCAAAAGCTCCTCAAAAACAGAAGTGACCCCCTCCCCCACTCCGGGACCCTTAGGACAGGGCCGAGAACCCCTCACCCGGAGATTCCCAGGGTCGATCCCCCCAACCCAGGTCACTCAGACACTCGGGAACAGGGGCTTGACGCCGAGGGCTGCTCGAGCTAACCTTGGCGTCGAGTTCGCCGGCGGCCGGGCTCGGCGGTCCCCGCCGCCACGGGCCTCCCTCAGTGCCCGGCAGGCCGCAGCCGCCCAGCAGCCGACCTCCCCTCTCCTCCCCGTACCTCCAGGAGCCCCCCACCCCACTGGGCTCCTGCTCTCACCACCACATCCGAAAACTCCTCAAGCCCGAGCCGAAGCCAAGATGGCGCCTCCCGGGAGCGCGCCGAGGTCGCGAGGCCGCGCACGCCGGATGGGGCGGGGCCTGAGGGGCGGGGACCCCGGCTCCTCCGCCCGCAAACCGAGAGGTTGGGAGACACCGGAGAGTGAGGTGGGCCAGGACGCGCGGACCCGGAGCGCTCGGGCTGTCTCAGCTGTTCACCCCCGAGCAAGGAGCACTCCTATTGGGGCGGAGAGAGCCCTGCGGAGGAGAGGAGCGGCCGTCGGAGGAGTCTCGCGTCCGAAGGATGCGGAGGATTTGGCCCTTAGAAGATGACAGGGAGGGCGTTACCCGTTGAGCACACCGTAGCAGCAAAGGCGGAGCAGCGGCTTTCACTTTGGACAAGAGCAAGAGGTGCCGTTTTAAGTGGCCGCTGCTGCGGGGGCGAGAGCCTTGGCCAGCGAGTTCTGAGCTTGGACCTCACCCCGTGGGCACTGGCGAACCACGGGGGGGGGGGTTTCATCAGGAGCAAGTCAAACCAGTTCGTGTGCACAGCGTACTGTGGCTGCAGCACAGGCGAGGGCGGGCCGCAACCGCTGGTGACTCCTGCCCGCCAAGTCCCGGGGGCATGTCCACGGAGATTCGTACGTTGCTCCGCGTATAATAAGCGCTCAAATATTTGTTATAAATCATTTGTTGAAAGAATGAACCAGAGAAACAGCAGTGGGAATGGGGAAAAGTAGATTAAGTTGGAAGATACCAGGAGGCAGATTTGACGACTGTTCGGATGAAGAAGGAGGGAAGAGTCTAGGGTGACTCCCAGTTTCAGACGTGCTGAATTTGAGATGCCAATGAGACCGTGCTGGTGGGCTGGTGGGCAGGCCAGAATGGAAAGGGGCCTGGAGCCACAGCAGTCCCTGATACCACAAGGGGGCAGCAAACACTTGGTGGAGTGAGGGACCATCAGTTTCTCTACTCTTTAACATGCTCGCCTTTCCAACCGTACCACCGCCCCCCACGGCCCACTCCCCAAAAGCCCCCTGCATCCAAACCTCTTTTAGTCTCCCCTTCTCGGCTGATAGCACCAAATAGGCTCCCAAGAGAGAAACTTAAAGGCTCCCCTCTGCATTGCACATGCTGCTCCCTTGGCTCTCAAAACCCTGCATGTCACCCTCCAGGGCTGCTTCCCACATTCCTTTTTCTTCTGTGCCCCCAAAGAACCCTGGTGCCACCTGTCCCTCCCCTTTTCTTTAACTGTCTCCTCAGCTAGCCTGTACAGGGTAGGAATCAGGTGGACCCTACCTGTGTCCTCCCCACCTGGTATGGCATCTGACATTTAGAGTGTACTTGGTAAATGCGGGATAAGTGGATACATAAACGAATGTTCCACTCACATCAAGCAAATGAGAGCATTCATCCTGAGAGCTTTACCTCTCCCGGAAAGCCAGACTAGGACGAGTATAGCTCTCAGTCCAACTAGTAGGAAGGCCAACAACTATGGCCTATCAACCTCATCCCCACCACCATACCCACACAACACCGGGAAGCTAACACACACCTCCAGTGATCTGTACAGTTTATTGTCTTTGGAACAGGACACTGATGAGGGGAGGGGGTGCAAATAGCAAATCTCAAGTAGCCAGACCTCTGACCCCAGAGCCCCACCTGAGTGCAGACTGGTAGGCTGTGAATCCAATAAATATAGAGCTGCCTCTGCTCTGTCCTGTTACAAGGGCAGGTTGGCACAGGGCCTGGAGCCTGGCTGCCCTGGCCCACCCTAGGATGGGAAGCAGCCATCACTCCTCTGCTGGCTTCACTTGCTTGGCAGCCTCTAACTGGCAAAGTAGCTCATCCCACTGCACGAACTGCTTGGAGAGAAGCATTGTCTGGTCGCAGGTCAAGGTGAGAACGGGCATCTGAGAGAGGGAGTGGAGAGGTTTGCATCTGCCTAAAGTGTCGGGGAGCAGGGGGATAGGCAGGCTGGTTGGGATGGGATGAGAAACAGAGCTAGAAATGGAATAAAAGGACAGGGCTCCGGACAGCACTCCTCAGGGGCCTGGCTGAGCAGAAAGGATACAGTCTTGTTGTATTCCTCTAGGAGAGCCTTGGACTCCTCAGTGATCTCCACACACTGGTCCTGTGGAGCCAAGGTGTGGCAGAGAAGGGAGTTGGACAAAGCCCCCGCTTCCCACTGCCCACCTCATTAGGGACCCTCGCTCCCCATAGAGCCTAGAAAAGGTAATGTTTAACCCCAGTGCCAAAAGGAGCAAATTTCTAAAGAGGCACTTTCAGGCTCCAGTGTGGGTAGCCTAACTGCAGTCCTAAGGCTGATACAAGGCGGGGGGCGGGGGGGGGGGGGGGGGGGGAACCCGGCGGGGGGGGGGGTGCGGGGTGAACCACACATTTAAGCAAATACTCCTGCTAGAATATGCCTCCTTCTCCCTGTCCCATATTTCTGAACCCTCTTTGACCTTTACACTAGGTCCTGGGAATAGTGAAAAAACAGCGCTTCCACCATAGTTAAGGACACATCATCCCCAGGAATTCATGGGTACCTCCCAACATCAATCTGATACCTCTGGGTAGCCCTACTCTGGGAGGCAGGAGACCTGGATGTGACCGTAGGCAAATCCCTTCCCTTCTGGAAGGCAGATGGAAGACAAAGGATAAACCCTAAATTCCCCCTGAAGCTGACATCAGGGAGGTCTGAGGCTGCTTCCCCAGGAAGCAGGGGTGGGGACTAGGAGCCTCACCACCTCTACTTTCCCCTCCAGGCCTCTCCCCTCCCATACCTGCTGTTGGATGTGGATCTGGGCCAAGCGCTGCAGGCGGGCGGCATGCTCAGGAACGGCTGTAAAACACAACACACACTGTCTAGTGATGCCTCTGCCTTCCCCCGGGACTGCTCAATAGTCTATTAGGTCTTCGGTAGGATTAGAGTATTGAGTGGAGAAGCTAAACAAACGCCAGCTTCATCGACCACTGCTTCTGGACGTGGTGGTGGGACTCCCTGCCCACCCCAGTCTTACTCTAGGACCCAAAGGGGAGGGGAAGATGCAGGCCCCTACAAGAAGACAAAACCCTGGGGTTCCCAGAGTTGCCCCATACACCCACCCCAGGGCTGTGAGCAGGGCCAAGTAAAGGAAGCTTTGATTATCATGGGATCTGTTCCTTTGCTCTCAGCCCAGCGGGACCAGGTCTGCCGGGCCTAGGGAACAGGGAGCCTGCAGGTGGGCTGAGGATGAATCCCAGGTCCCTAAGCTGGCCACCTGGAATCCAACACCCAGAGCTTCAGCCACCATGCTGGGCCCACAGCTTAAGGGTGTCAGATGCTCAGCAGGAAGCTGATCAGGGGTAGGGACGGGGAGCTGGGAAAAATACCTCTAGAGACAGACAAGATGGCTATCTGGATTCAATTAAAGTCACTGTCTGCTTGTCAAAACCCAGGCCTAGGGACTGGGCTCTGCAGCACCCTGAAGGACAGATGCTGAGGGGTGGGGTAGAAGACAGAAGGAATCCCAGAGTTGGAGGCCGCTGGCCTTACATGAGTGTCCTTGGTGCCAAACTGCCTGACATTCTGAAGCTGAGCTCTCTGCCCTAGAAATTTTAATCCCAGTGCAGGTGTCCGGTACCCGCAGGGTGAGATAAAGACAAGGAGCAGAGCTAGCCTGAGCCCAGGGAAGTCCTGCCCATCCACCCACCTCCCCAAGTAGAGTAGTGGAGCTGCAGCCCCAGAGAGGTACCTTTGATATGAGTGCTGTCCAGCATGGGCACCAAAGCCTCCACCTGCTCCAGAAGCGCAACCTGGGAGAGGATAAACTGCTCCTCTGAGGCATAAACAGAAAAGGCAGTGGCAGTGAGGCGAGCCTGGGCACAGCCACTCCCATGCAAGGGGCCGATGAGATGGCTGAGCCTGGAGCTTGGGGCAGCTAGTCTGCCCACTGCCCCCTTCGCTATGTGCACATTACCCCAATCTGTCTCCACCTCTCTTGGATGCCTCTGGTCTGACCTATCTTGAGCCCAAGGAGCCTCTAAGTTCCTCCAAATCCTACCTTTCTCCAAGTTTTAACTCTGAGGCCCCTTCCTCTAGCTTCCTATCAACAAACTCAGAGCCCCTCCTAGGCCACAGGAAACAAAGTACTTCAGACTTGGGTACCCACATGCAAGGGCTCCTGGGAAGGTCTGAAAGAGGAGACATGGAAAACTACCAGGCAGGTTCTGCTCAGTGGATCTGAGAGGCACAGACAATTACAAGTTCCTGGAAAGCTGGGACAGTAACAGGACAGTCCAGTGAGGAAAGCAGGACTGGAATGACCCTGTGCACAGGGGGTTTCAGTGGCTGCAGAGTGGGAAGGGCATTCGAGAAGGGAGGACTGTTATGTCAAACATTTGGAGGCAAGAATGCTTGTCAATTAGTAGAGGAAAAAGAATTCATTTGGCTGAACTGGAGCAAGGAGAGCACAGGAAACAGCTAGATGGGAGGGTAGATCTAGCAGTCTATAGAAGGCTTGGAATGGCATGCTAAGGAATTAGGAATTTATCCTAATAGGGAGAGAGACACACACACACTGAGGTTCCATACTAAACAAAGTGGCATGTTTGAAATGTGTTTTGGGAAGATGATACTGAACCACATGCAAGAAGGGGAAGACGAGGGTCAAGAAGAGGATTTAGGAGACTGCAACCATTCATGTACAAGGGGATGAACACTGAGGCAGTGGCGACAGGGAGGCACGGAGAGGCTGGACTTAAGAATCAGTGCAGGAGGGACCTCCCTGGTAGCGCAGTGGTTAACGATCCGCTTGCCAATTCAGGGGACATGAGTTCGAGCCCTGGTCTGGGAGACCATGCCGCAGAGCAACTAAGCCCATGCGCCACAACTGCTGAGCCCGCCTGCCACAACTATTGCAAGTCCGTGTGCCTAGAGCCAATGCTCCGCAACAAGAGAAGCCACTGCAACTAGAGAAAGTGCACGCGCAGGAATGAAAACCCAACACAGCCAAAAATAAATTAATTAAAGAAAATAATAATCGGAGCAGGAGAAGACCTCCTGAACTTGGTGTCTAAGCCACAGCAGTGGCTCAGGTATGTTCTGGTTCACCATTGTATACCTCACACCTAGGATAGTCTGGATCACAGTAGATGATCACTTTTGAATGCATGAACAAACACAGGTGCTTGGCAAACCATACCTCATGGAGTGGCTAACTAACAGATAAGCAGACATTGCTAAGACAATAGTTCCTGCCTAGAATTCTGGAATCCCAGTGCTTTCTCACATAAAAGAAACATGTTGAAACTCATACCTATAACCTCACCTCTCCCAAATGCAATGCTCTCTGCCCCTACCCTTTCTTAGAAGCTCCTATGTCTACTGAGCAGAAGTAAGGAAGGTTCTGAAGGAAAATCCTAGAGGCAAGCCATAGATAGAACACCGGAGTAGCTTCCACTGTGGCTGGCACCATGGTCTGCAGCTGGCTCTGAAGTATACTGTACCCAGTGCCTACTAGAGGACCACAGGACCACCTCCAGCCTCAGTCCAGAACCAGGCCAGATTCCAGAAAGCAGCTTCCGGGGCTGTATCCAGGAGAGAGCCGGCAGGGAAGCTATTTCTGTGCCCGACTTCCCCCACAATCCACATCCCCAGATGCATATGCACATACTGTCCAGCACTACCTGCTAAGATGAACTGCAGCTTAGAGGCATCAGGTAAGGCAATGCGGTCAATGTACTCAGGATCCAGGTATTTGATCAGGTCTTCAACTAGAAAAGTAGCAAGATGGAAAATGGGATAAGGTTGGGGAGTGGGGATCTGTCTTGTGAAGGATATTAGGGGAGGTGTCAGCCTTGGGGAGACCCTTGAGTGAGGAGCTGACACCCTCAGTGTCCACCAGGCCTGCACCAGGTCCCCTATCCCCACTTCCCTGTCTCTACCCTCTGATCACCTGCTGGCCAGCCTCAAACTTTAAAACGCTGGGGCCCTCAGCATTCCCACTGATCTATCCTCAAGGCTGGAAGGCACCTTGCTCCTCAGTGCCACCAAGACATGCCAGAGCTTTATCTGATTTCTAGTTCCTGAACAGGTTGCTAGCTCTGACATAATCAAAAAGGGCTGGTTGAGCCAAGACTGGGGCTCTCAGTGCCTGATTTCTTTCCTGCCTCTGAACCTTGCCTGTGGAAATTCCATACCCCTCGTCCCTCCTTCCCCCAGGGGACCTTTCAGGCAGAGCTCTTATCCCATAACTTAGGACATTGCCATGGGCTTGGGGTTTAACCACAAAGTAGAAAGCACACCCCAATTCACCATTTCATCAGGGCAATGTCTTCACCTGCTATCCCCAAAGGGCAACTCCAGTGACCTACTAGGCTGAAGAGCCTGGGCAGGGAACCAGGAAGCACAGGCTTGGGAAGGAGAACAGGCAGACACTTCATGGAAGCACTTACTCTTTTTGTACAGAATCTTCACCCTCTCCCTCTTGCTGGCGATGTTCCCCAAAGCCACCTGCACCTTGACCAGGCCATCGGCCACCTATTGGGGGAGTGGAAGTTAATTCCATGATTTAACACTTGGCTCAAGTCTTGGAAGAGATAAAGAACCCTCATTCCCTCAGACTCGCAAACCTCCTTGTCCCAGCTATCATCCCCTTCTCTAGTATTAAAAGACATTCAACCCTACCTTCCGGGAATCCTCAGTGTGAACGGGGAGATAATCATGTACTCCTTGGGGAGTTTCAAGTGTGACTGGGGAGGTGGTGAACTACTTTAGAGTTTATGGGGCACTAGCATATACTATCTATTCCCTGATTCCTCCTCTTGGCTGAACCTACCTAGGCTTTAAGGGTAGAGGATGAGGAATTCCAATATTAAAGGATTGAATAGAGGGAGAGGCTTCGGGAGTGAATGATATCACACAGGTTTTAGGTTAGAGGGTAAGGAATGACAATATTCAAGGGTCAAATATATGGGGAGGCAAATAAGACTGCGTAGAAGCAGCCAGAGAGGTAGGAGGAAAATCAGGAGGATTTGCGTCATAGATGTGAAAAGGAGAGAATGTTCTGAGAAGTCAGTTCTCACATGGGACACAATCTGTTAGTGACAACTAATTCCACAAGAAGTGTACAAACAGACATCATTACCTCTGAGGCACTCAACTCCAGGGTGTGCCTGACACTCCACCTTCAGTGAAAGGTCTTTCCATAGTTAAAAAGGGGATGGAAGGGAAACTGAGCTGCACAGTTGTCAAAATTCAGTCATTGGTGGGAAGGAGTGCCAGTCCATATCTGAACACTCAGTACCCAATCCCTTCCCCTCCTAATCCTGGCCCTCCCAGACCACACCTCTAACCCCCTGGAGCCTTCTTTATCCGCCTCCGGTCTGCCTCTTTTGGGGTCCTACGGACCTCTCTTTACACAATTCACTTAGCAATTACGCAGGGCTCCACAACGGCCCTTCCGGGCTTCAGCTCTTACTGAAACTCTGATTAGTCAGTTTCTCGAGTGTGTCAGGTCTCCCCAGCTACCCCGCGAGGGCAAAGGCGGAGTCTCCACAGTGAGCCCACCTCATACCCACAGTGCCCTCCGTGGGAATGGACCCCGAGGGCCCGATATGCTCCGGGAGGTCTCGAACCTTTGTTATTTCAAAGGCCGGGCTGCGGTCAACGGGACTCGAGCGGTAGCATCCACCTCGAGGACCAGGCCAGTAGACGGCTTTTGCTTTGCCCCAGAGAGGGACCACTGGACCCCAGATAGCTCACCTTCCGCGAGCCGCGAGACCCGCCCGGCCCGTACACCCAGCGCTCCAGCTCCTCCACACGGGCCTGTAGCCGCTGCACATCTGTCACAGCCGCCATAGCTCCCGCCGCCCCGCCTCAGCCAGGAACAGCCAGAGGGCGGGACGTCCGTCCAAATAGAGAAGGCGGGCCAATCCGAGTGGACGGGCGCCCCTGCATACAGGAAGTGATGCCACGATTCAGCCCTTCGATGCCGGAAGCGGCAGGCAGGGCCGACGAAAGTTGTCAAAAGCTGTCTTGTAACCTAGGCGACGGCTACCCGTCAGGCCCTACCCTAACGTCCAGCCCCTGCTCAAGACAACCTTTGCCTTTATTCCAGGGTACCAAATTCCAGGGTACCAAAGAGGTTTCCCTACCCCATTCTCAGAGGTTGCACATATAAATATACCCATTATTCTAAGATTGGTCCATTCCCATAGAATAGTAGGAAGCCCCGTGAGATACCATAATCTTTTGGAGTCTTCTAAGGTTCAAGCGATTAAGTGTCGTGCCAAGGACACTCAACATTGTAGTGGCAGAATCGGGATTTGAACTCAGGCAGTCTGATTCATGAGACTGAGCTCTCCTACTCATGACTTTTGCTATTCTGTCTTCTTTGAGAACCCCTAGCCCAACACAGCCTGTGCATACCACATAATTCCTCCCCGACCCACAGGCCCAAACAAGAAGGAGAGGAGGCACTGGAGAGGGAGGGACCGCAGCTTTATTATCCAGATGTGACATGAGGGACATCTTCACAACACCCCAACTCAACCCTTCACCTGGCTCCTGAAGAGAAGCAGGTCTGACTCGAAGAGGTGGAGTCCTAGAGATGATATTGACACAAGGGAGCACATGAGGAGATGATGGGGGTTACCGGGGGAAAAACTCTTTGGTAGATGCTGCTGGAGTTGGCCAGGGAGGAGGTGCCCTCCTTTTGCAATGAGGTAGATGTAACATCAGAAGAAATCTCTTTGGCTTCAAGTCCACATGGCATGGTTGAGGTGGGGAGTGGCCACCTCCCAGGTCCTAGAATGGGCACGTTGGAAGAATGGGTTGGAGGGGTGTCTCCTCCCCCCTCAGCAATGGGGTTGGGACTCTCAATTTCAGGTGTGAGCTCTCAGGGTGAGGCGCTGGAAGGGGGCCCCACCAGGGGTGGGGGTGCAGGGTTGGCTGGACCCTGGGAAGCTGGCACGGGCTGGCGACGGGCAAAGAGGACACCTGGCAAAGGGGTGAGGAGATGGTAGAGGGAAAACACAAGCAGAAAAAGGCGAGGCAAAGAAACAGAAGAGGGAAAAAAAAAGTCAGTGTCCTGATTGCTAGAACACCACACACAGAGCCCTGCCGCAACCAATGACGAAAAGCCCCTTGAGTCAGTTAGAGACTCCTGTGCCAATACAGATACCCTCCAACAAGTAAACAAGAAATATTTACACTGATACATAGGCCCATGACAAGACATCCCATGGTATTCATGCCAGAGAGGTCATGCCTTGGATCCCATGCCATGTAGACACCCCCTTTAATCCATGCCAGTGTAGCAATCCCCTGAACCCCATGTTACCCATGCAAGTTTGGATATCTCTGAACCTCATGCTAGTAGAAAAAGTCTAAAATCCCCATGCCAGTGTAAATACCCCTGACCTCATGCCAGTATAGACAGCCTGCAGTACCCATACCAGTGTAGACCACCCCGTTGATCTCTAGGGCCATGTTGATACTGCTGATACCACTGCCTGCCAGATTGAGAGGCCCATCCAACTGCTCTTCTGTCCAGGAGGGGGCAGGGGAGTCACATTTTGGGGAATCAGACTTCAGACTTACAAGCTCCCCCCTCCATCCCTATAGAGAGCCCCCATTCCAATTCAGCCCCACACCTGTAATCACAGAGTTGTCTACTGAGGGATCTATCTGCCCCACCTCCAATGCCTATGGGGTGATGGGTCTGTCCTCCCTCATTGCACAGGCCCTAAGTCCTCTCAGCAACAAGCCCCTCCTCACCCCTCAGGGGAACCTTGCCACGGGACAGGAAACTGGGGGGTGCGCCGTGTCGAGGTGAGTCCATGTTCCCCATCAGCACAGCCCTCTTCTCTGGGGGCTCCTCTGGTGCCACCTTCTCACGCGCAGGTCCAAAGGCTAGGCCCACCGGCAGTGCCAGTCGAGGGGTTGGAATTCTGCTCTCCACTGAAAAAACAGGTCATTTAGCTCCCCTGACCCAACCAACCCTGTCTCTGCATCTGGTTCTCCCCACAGGCCTGGGACCAAGGGAGGTCATCCAAGCTCAAGCACCAAGTTCAATCTCACCTCCCATCCAGTCTCCGAATAGAGGCTCTGAAGCTGGAGAGCTCCAAAAGGCCAATATATCTGACTAGGTTTGTCCCAGACAATTTGGGGGATTTCCTTGCTTTCGGTTGTTAAATAAGCCAGGAAAAACAGGAGGCATAAACCACATGCAAATAGGAGCCCTGGTGTTGAATGAAGCTGCTCTGGATAAAGTACCTTTTCCTGAGCTTCAGGCCCACACCGCAGTAACCCATATCCCAGAGCTCCCAAGGCTTCATTGACCCCAAACATAAGGACCCCTAAACCTGAGCATGCACCAAACCTCAGTGCCCCGTCAGTCCTTACTGTCCCCATATTTCGATGCTCCCAGACCTCAGAGTTTCCACATTTTAATGTTCCCTATATCTCAGCCTCCCCCTAGGTCTCAGAGACCCTCAAAGTTCAGTCGCTCTCCCCTCACACCTTTCTTAATCGGGCTCGGGCTCAGCTGCGCGCAGGCGAGCGCCGGCAGGCCGGAGGCGGAGCCCTGAGCAGTGCTGGGGCCGGGCGTGGGCGCGGGAGGGGCGGGCCCGGAACACGAGGCGGGGCCAAGAGTGCCCCGAGGGGACTGCCCCACCAAGCCGAAGAGTGGGGCGTTGGTGTAAGCTTGACGACGGCCTTCCCGCCGGTTGCTGTCGATGGCGGCCTGAAGCTCCCCCGGGGAGCTGAGCGCCCGCGTCTCGCACTCGTACGGGTACAGATACTTCATGTACCTAGGGCGGACGGGGTGGGGTGGGAGGCTGGGCCCAGCTGATGAAGCCTCACCCCCGGATACGAACCCCCGGGGCCCTCCGCGACCCGCGCCCCACCCCCGCTCCCGCGCCTTGCTCCCACCGCTCGCGCGCGCGCCTGGCCTCACTGGGTGCGTAGAGTGAAGGCGGCCGACGTGATGGTGGTGGGCAAGCTGAGGCCGCGCGTTACCTCCCGCCACACCTTGCGGTTGATGACTTCCACCAGACCGCCCTTGGCCGTCACCAGGCGAAACAGCGCGTACAGGTCCAGCACCTGCTTCGCCATGATGGGCACACGGTTCACTGGCGTCCCTGGTCGGGGGGTTGGCAGAGAGTCAGGACACTAAGACTGAGACCCTGTCTGCGGGCATCCTCAGGGACTCGAGGAGTCGGCTGCCTGGACCTGCCTGGGTGAGCCCCAGGTACAGGGCGGGACCGTCAAGAAAGGAGGGGAACAGGGAGGGATGGGGAGGTGGGATTGCAGGCAGAGCCCCCAGAGCCCCCAAGGCCTCCATGGTAGCAGGAAGGGTGGGAGGCTAGACCAGGGGTTGGCAAACTTCTTCTGTAAAGGGCCAGATAGATGGTAAATGTTTTAGGCTTTGCAGGCCAAACTGTCAGAACTAATCCACTCTGCAACTGCAGCCTGAAAGCAGCTATAGAGGATATTTAAAGGAATGAACGCGGCTCTGTTCCAATAAAACTTTATTTACAGACTCTGAAATTCGCATTTCACACATCCAGAAATGTTATTCGTCTTTTAATTTTTCCCACTATTTAAAAATGTGAAAAACATTCTTTTCTCATGGGCTGTTAGATTTGGCCCGCAGGCTTTAGTTTGCCGACCTCTGGGGTAGACCATAGGAAGGACTTCCTGACTGTGCTGAAGAGCCAGACTCCCCTGAGCAGCGGCCCGGGGTGGCTGCCAGAGGCGGGAGGATGGTGGATGGGAGAAGAAGCAACCCCCGCCTCGGCTCGCCGACTCCGCAGTCCCCGCCGCCCCCGCCGG